ACAAACCAAGTGGTAGTAGCAGGGCCTGGCTTGAGATACAAGGCTAGTATACCTAGAGTAGTAAGTAGGAAGTTTGGGTATTCATATAACATTAAGTTGCATAAAAGAATACAAGCTAACAGATAATATGATATAACCACTTTAATAAGGAGTATAATATGAACTGAGCAGTGCAAATACTAGATAAGTCCCTTTTCTAACATATAATACCAATGCTTCTCATATAAAACTACAATAGCAGCAGGTATCTAGCTTGAGAAACATAGACAAGAGACCACCTATTAGAAGGAGTATACTAGTTTAAAAAATACTTTAAATAACAGACACACCAAATTGAGAGGCTATTAAGGACCGATTACCTGAATAAACCAATTTGAGAGTTACTAAAGTTTGATAGTAAGACATAAGGCAAATATGGTAGATAACTAGATATAGTCTGAACACCAAATCTAGGTATAATCTAATGCATAGTAAGAATATAGCATATTCTGGTAGGTTTAGATCATAGATAAAAATTGTTTAAGTCTGTATTCTTAAGATAGATATGTAGCTATATAAGACAAATACTTGATAAATATCTAATAAAGATATGAGGCAAGATCTCACCTTAACACCAAAAAAAAATTAATATTAGACTAACTACTATACAATATGTACAGATTAGATTTAAATTAATAACAATATCTAGATCTTTCTTAATTTAATATACAAATCAAACTTTGCCCAACTTTATATAAAGCAGAACTTCACTCTATCTGCTATCTTTATAGCTCTATATAATTTAACAATTAATATTTATATAGATTCCTAGTCTATTATCTCTAAATACTAAAAACTTATATCTTTTTACTTAATCTAAATAGATTCTTTAAATTTAATACATGGTTATTATAATATATAACCTTTTACAAAGTTCAGACTCACACAGATAATATTTTTAACAATTTAGCAGACTTCTTAGTTAAACAATATACAACTATTTTATTTCTCAACTTTAACTATATTAATATCTACAACTCATTTTATATTCTATAATATAAAAATAAAAAATTTTTTGTTAAACAACCTACTCAATACTTCTTAAATCTATTTGCAAAACCCACATTCTAGCAATATGATCATCCTAGTACCATAATAAGGAATACAGTAGTCCCAAACCAACTATAAAATTAATTGAAGATCAACCTGGTTATATTTCAATTATAATCACAAATCCACTTACAATATTACTAACTTTAAACTTAACTACTCAAATCATTCAAAATTAAAATATTACTTAATGAACTTTTTATCTATTTTCTTTATTATAATCTCTACCCAATAATCTTTCAAGATACTAACTGCTTCTACTGTAGAGTATTAGACTCACCCTCACACTAACCCAACTATACTTTCTAGTATTATTAATACTTGCATTAACAATTATCTCAAGTAGATTAAGCTAGACCTTACATCTAATTAGATAGAAGAACTTATTTATAAACATAAAATTATGAGGTATTAACTTTGTAGTAATACATAAGAATTGATTTATATAGTAAAAAAATTCGATTCTTTATACGTACAGTACGTATTTTTAACATGACAAAGTCAAATTACGTATAAATCCCTAATGCTAAGTAAATCAATTTCTACGCATTTATACGTATAAATTTGTTGACAGAGGCAAATTACATATATCCTGAAATTTTTATTAATAAACTAAATTTTAAATGATAATAGATTTTTTTTTAAAAAAAAAAATCATTTATTTTTAATAAACAATTGATTGATCGAAGCAATTAATAAAATTTTAGAATATATGTAATTTGCTTCTGCAAACAAGGTTACTTAACGCATTTTCCTGATAACATTTTGGGGAATTTTCGAATTTAAATACAAATTTTCAAGTAGTTAATTACCCATAAAAAGTTTAACTGATTTTTACATAGATTTTTTTTTTAAATAATAAAAACATTAGTTTTAAAATTTGTCAAGCAACTATATATAATTATAAACATATGTCGTAGGTGATTCAGAATTTTTAAGGTTAGGGTTGGGATTTTTAGTATAATTATTCCGTTCTAATCTAAGTGGATTCCGAACCCTATTATCGTTTCATTCTCACTTACAACATATATACGATTAATTAAAATTTTAGCTAGGTTATTTTTTTAAAGTTTGCTGCTGTTTAAAAATAAAAATTATTGCCTAGCTTCCGTTGATTTACTTCCATATGATGTTGACAAGTAAAAACTTTAATTTTATAGAGAGATATTATATTAACTACGTACTCGTAACTGACTCGTAATTGATAATGTCACATGAAATCACATTAGTAGTAAAGAGAAATTGCGCTTATAGAAAATACACTTATGGGTTATTGTATCGAACTTTAAATTCGAAACCTTATATATTAATATTACGCCCATATTCATGTTCTATACCATATTATATACGTATCATTGGTCTATATTATGTTTCATATCATGTTTCATATGAGCAGTGTTGGCATTTAGGCGAATTTGAGCGAATTTGGACATATAAAATTTTATTTGGATAAATTTGGACATATAAAATTTTATACGTACGTACGTACGAAATTTTTATTGGACATAGTCCAAATGCCAACACTGCATATGAATGCTGCAGAGCGAAATCCTGTAACTGATCATAAACGATACACTATGGTCAGTTACGGATTTTTGTTCTGCAGCACTCATATCATGTTCACATCTATTTCACGTTTAGAGTTAGCGTTAGCGGTAATGAATAACATTAATTAACAAGGTAATCAACGTTGTTATAGATAATAAATTTGTAGGATTGATTGTCTGAGCCCGGAAGATTCACAAGTGTAGCATTCCGTAGTTACTCAATAGTATTTAAAATAGGCAAAGACCGGATCATTCTCCAAAGTTTCCTCATTAAGAATATCCAGATATTTGACAGATTTTAATACGTATATGTACAATAAAGTTGGTTTTCGGACGTTCTAAAAATTTTTGAGCTTATTCTAGAATGCTCCAAATTCCTGAAAAATATTCTAAAATTTAGGAATAAATACGGAATTAACTAAAATTCAGTTTTTTTTTGGTTTTCGGACGTGATTAATATTAAGCGATAATTTTCGGAGTAGCTATCCGAAAAAATCCTAAAGTCCCAAAATACTCTTTTTGCCAACCTTAGTGTACGTACAATAATCGAAAAAAAAAGCAATTATTTATTGATCGATATAGTAGAAATTGTTATTTCCGAGCTTTATTTTCATATTGCTAATTCCGTCATTTTCTAACGCTAGTGATAGAAAAAATTCAGGATAACACAAAACCTAAAAGGATTGGTAAGAATGACTACGTAACTTTTTTGAAATTTTAAGAATAAATATTTGTGTACAGTATTCCTTAATGTTATTAAAAAAACAAAATCTCACGTTCTCATTCTATATAGGGTTTATCTAGGATTACAAATTTGTTAACAATGGAAACCAAAACAGTTACGAATTTACTACGTAAGTACGTACCTCAGATGCAAAAAAGGAAAAATAGAAAGTCCATATGGAAAATTATCTAAACATCCGATGTTGATAATCCACAGTTAACTAAAGTAGCTAAACTTTTTAAGTACATCTCCGATTAGTGTCTGCTTACTCAATAGTAGAGAAAAATGTTGCAATAGACTTCATTAGTAAGAAACAACGGTTTATACCTTTTTCTTTGAACAATCACACACTTATACTCTTTCTTCTATCGAAAGATTTTCAAATTTATTCGTAAATCTGGGATATTGTGTAACTACACAAATTTAAATTCATGTGCTTATACATTTCCATTTTAGAAATAAAGTAACGGTAAATAAAGGCAAAAAGAATAATATTAAACTGCGTACGTATTAATTAAACATAATATTAAACATTTTTTGATTATGCATTTTGTTTGTTATTGTCCAATTGATTTTCTCTTTTAATTTCGTAATTATGAGCTATTCTTTTTTTACAGTATCATAATTTCATCAGTTTATATACAATTAATTTCTAAGAAACAACATTAGTTTAGTTCACACCAATGATACTATCTTTTCGAATCTTTCTGTGTCGAGATCTGAATAAATTTAATTGATATTGATCTAGAGGTATATCACGAACGATTTCAGCCTATAATATTCGAAACATAATTTAGTTTCAAATTTTAAAATAATTAAAATATAGTTGAATAAAAATATTTCCTGATGGAATAATTACATTTTCTTGACTGTTTGTCATGTTAACTACATTAATAAATTCTTTAGAATTTATATCCATGTTATTCATGTTACCTAATGCATTAACTTGTATTATTTGTCTGTCTTGAGTAAATCGTGAACTAAAAGTAGGCTGACTCAATTCGAAATTTGAAAGTTCTTGAAAAAGTTGTACAGCATGTTAATTATGTTATATTTAATAACAAAAATACATACATACACACATACATACATACATACATACATACATACATACATATATATATATATATATATATATATATATATATATATATATATATATATATATATATATA